ATCTGTGACCACTTGTGAGAAGTGCAGCCCATACCATCCACCTTGGCTCCCATGCAGGCACTTAGAAGCCTTTCCACTGCAGCGCAGAACACAGCCCCCTGTGCCCACAGGCAGCCCCGTGTCACCAGTGCTGCATGGGGATAAGCAGCCAGGCCTTGTACTTGGTGTGGGTTTGGGTGTCTGTGTTGGGCAGAGACCGGGAGAGCCCTTTCTGGGTGTGCCTGAACCTCCCAGTGCCCTGTGCCCCTCTGTGGGCCTGGACACCTGGTGCTGCCAGCTGGGCATGAGCCCCAAGCAGCTGAGGGTGGCTGTGGCTTGGAGGATCAGTGGGGTGACCAGGAGGGCGTGGGGCCGGGTGTTTCATATCCTCAGGAGCAACGCTGGGCTCAGAAGGCAGGCACACTTGCCATCCCTCAAGCCGTGGCTGGCCAGGCCTGGCGGGCTGTCGTGAGGACAGTGCTGTCTCTTTGATGCAGGGATGGTTGTGGCTGTTAGATGCTGTCCCTTCGAGGGAGGGATGAGAGCCGTCCTGAAGATGGGCCAGCTCTGACAAGCGCCCGTCGGGGGGGTTACATCCAGGTGCGTTGCACTGGTGGCATGTGGCCGCCAAGAGCCGTGTGAGCATGAGCAAGGACAGCTGTGGGCTGGGCAGAGCTCTCTCTGCTGGGGGTCAGTCAGTGCTGGGGCAAGGGGGTGCAGAGCTACCAGAGCCCCTCTGCAGCTCAGCTCACCCCGCAGCTCTGCCCCAGGCAGCAAACCCACCGCTCCCCTTTCTGCCACAGGAGGCCGTGGAGAAGGTGACGCAGCACATCCATTCGCTGTCTGGCAAGAAGGACGGGCTGGTGCCCATGTTCATCAACACCCACAGTGGCCTCTTCACCCACCTGGGCGTGTTCACGCTGGGTGCCAGGGCTGACAGCTACTATGAGTACCTGCTGAAGCAGTGGATCCAAGGCGGGAAGCGGGAGACACAGTGAGGCCCGCCCCCCGCCCGCCCCCCCACCCCCCCACACGCCCCACCGTGTCGTGCCAGGCCCAGCCCAGGTATTTCTGTAGGGGGTGTATTCATTCGTTTCTCACCATGGTCTCTGAGAAGGGGCCACTCACTGAGGACTGTGGGCTGTGTGGGGTGGCACCTTCTGTCTGGCAAGGCCAGGCCTGCTGAGCTTGCGTGGGCCCGGGATGTGCCTGTCCCTGGTGCCCTGCAGGAGTCCGTGTACCCATGCTGATATAGTGAAGTGACTGCTGTTGTCCACAGGTTGCTGGAAGACTACATGGAGGCCATCGAGGGAATCAAAATGCACCTGCTGCGTCGCTCAGAGCCCAGTAAGCTCACCTTCGTGGGGGAGCTTGCCCACGGCCGCTTCAATGCCAAGATGGTGAGTGTGTCTGTGGGGGGAGCTCGCCCACGGCCGCCTCAGTGCCAGGATGGTGAGTGTGTCCGTGGGGCCTCTGACCACCCCTTTTACCTTAGCTTCAAGGTGCTTGAGTCATGGTGTCAGAACAAGGAAATTCTGGTTACGGCGCCTGTGCAGAGGCCCTAGGTAGACTGTGCCTGCCCAGCCAGGCCTGTCTCAGCAACAGGGCAGCGAGGCCTTGTGTGGCACACAGGCAGGCAGGCAGGGCTCCCCTGGGCAGCTCCCTCCCCCACCCGTCTCCATGCTGGTGGTGTGCAGCAGGTCCTCAGGCAGTGGGTGTGTGGGGCTGAGTTGGAGGGGCCTGGCCCAGGCGGCAGCTCTGCTGTTCCATGGCAGGTGCCCTTGTGTGGCCACCACTCCCAGGGTGCCAGGGGCTGAGGCAGCACAGCCCAGCATTGGCTGCCCGTGCAGCTGCAGGCTGAGGCTGGTGCCTGGGGTCTGGGGCTGAAGAGACCCTCTAATTCCAGGACCACCTGGTGTGCTTCCTGCCTGGGACGCTGGCTCTGGGCGTCCACCACGGCCTGCCTGCCAGCCACATGGAGCTGGCCCAGCAGCTCATGGAGACTTGTTACCAGATGAACCGGCAGATGGAGACGGGGCTGAGCCCCGAGATCGCGCACTTCAACCTTTACCCCCAGCCGGGCCATCGGGATGTGGAGGTCAAGGTGGGCCTGGGGCCTGGGGCCTGGGCCAGGATCCTTTGGGGCAGTGCCATCGGGGCTGGCCTCACCCTGAGCTCTGCTCTGCCTACAGCCGGCGGATAGGCACAACCTGCTGCGGCCAGAGACGGTGGAGAGCCTGTTCTATCTGTACCGCGTCACGGGGGACCGCAAGTACCAGGACTGGGGCTGGGAGATCCTGCAGAGTTTCAGCCGCTTCACGCGGGTGAGCACCCGTGTCGCGCTCCGAGCCACGCACAGCTGGGCTGTGGGGCTCAGGCTGGCCCTGCCCCCACAGAGGTTGTGCCCTGGGTTGGGGAGGAGCAGGCTTGCTGCAGCCTTGGGGTGGCTACATCGCAGCCTGGGGGCCCTGGCACCCTCCTTTCTGAGCTTCATGGTGTGGGACCCACAGTCCTCAAAGGGGCTGGGTGCCCCTCATTTTCATCTCTCAGGGCATAGGCTGTCTGGGGAGGATCCCTGCTGTGGGCCCAGTATCCCCCCAATTTAGGAGGCAGATGCACCCACGACCAGGGCACCATCCCCACTGTGGACCAGGCCCTCCTTCAGGTCACATGCTCCCCAGGCCACTGCCCTCCACAGCAGAGCCACATGAGACCTGAACATCAGTTCCTAGCTCTGCTGTCCTGTGGCCAGAGGCCCCGCTGCCTCAGCTCCTGCCATCTGTCCCGGCCCTCGGCCCTGCACCGTGAGGCCACTGTGAGGACCCCTCAGCCCACGTTCTGGGCGAGGCAGTTTCTCTCCTGGTCACTTGATGGTTGTTAGCATTTCCAGGTGGTTTCTCATGGAACCACAGCTCATCTGGGGGTGGCCGTCACCCCAAGCCTGCACTGGGGGCCTTGTGCATGATGGGGTGGGGGTGTAGGGTGTGCCAGTCTAGTGAGAAGGCCGCATGTACTGTGGGGTGGGGGCGCCCTGTCTGCTGACAAGGCCGAATGCACTGTAGGGTGGGGGCGCCCCATCTCCTGACAAGGCCCTGGCTGTGCACAGGTCCCCTCGGGAGGCTATTCTTCCATCAACAACGTCCAGGATCCTCAGAAGCCTGAGCCCAGGGACAAGATGGAGAGCTTTTTCCTGGGGGAGACGCTCAAGTACCTGTTCCTGCTCTTCTCCGATGACCCGAATCTGCTCAGCCTGGACGCCTATGTGTTCAACACCGAGGCCCATCCTTTGCCCATCTGGACCCCTGCCTAGTGGGGACAGCTGCTGTGGGGGGACTTCGGGTGGCAGAGGCACCTTGTTGGGTCTGTGGCATGTTCCAAGGGCCCACGTGGCCCCAGCAACCACTGAGTGACCCAGGCTCCCCCCTGGCTCTGGGCTTCTCCTGGCCTCGGCTTTCATCAGGACACAGTGAGGCCAAGTGAGACCTGTCAGCCTGCGTCTGATGTAGGGTGGGCCGAGCCACTGGAGCCTCCACCTGCTTTCCCCAGAAAATGTAATCATGACTCATGATTGTTGAAATGTGAGCATCTCTGTGGGCTGACCAAAAGGGACTTTGAGGTGGCTCCAGGACCTGTGGTGACCAAATGGACCGCCCAGGGTGCAGCCCTGCCCAGGCTCGTGAAGTCTCAGGCATTCCCACCCAAAGGTCTAGAGGGGCTGCTGTGACCCCACAGGCCCAGGGCTCCAGGGCTGGCTCTGGTGTTTACAAGCTGGACTCAGGGACCCTCCTGGCTGCCTCGCGGGGGGCTTGGAGGGCTGGACAGCACGTCCATCTGGCTCACAGGCCACTCCAGTGGAATGGGTCTTTTTGGTGGAGATAAAAGTCGATTTGCTCTAACTGATGTCACTGTCTGTAGGGGTCTCCATGACTAGAAAGTCCGGGTGATGTTGGGGAGGGGCAGTTCTTCGGGTCGCATCTCAGAATTCAGTTTGCTGAGACTGGACTCGAGCTGTCCCCCGCCTCTGGGCAGGGAGCGGCCATGGTGTCCTCGGTGTTGCTGGCTCTGTGGGGCAGGCGCTTAGCGGGAGGCATCCTCACTCCTGCGTCTCACGGGGACCGCCTCCCTGTGTGCTGGCACTGGGGCACATGGCTGAGGGATGCGTGGGCCCAGGTCGGACAGCTCCCAGCAGCCTGGCAGGGCTGTGGCCCCAAGTCCTGGGCTGTGGTGGCAGTCATCGTCCTTGTCACTCCACTACCAGCTGCAGTTGTCCCTGTCCCAGTGCTGACCCTGGGCCTTGGTTGGGTCCCCCATCCCTGAACCAGGTGACCTCCGTCACCTTCACTTCTGGAAGACTTCCCTTCCCTGGGAAGCCAGAGCTGGTGGCAGCACAGGGCAGGGCCACCTGGACATGACCTGGGACTGCCACCAGTTCCCCCAACAGAGGTCTGGGCCCTGAGTGTGGGCCTCAGCTCTGCCCATTCCCATGCCCCCCAAAGTCCCCACAGCAGCCATGTCTCCTGGGGCCCCCTCCCTGCACTTCTCCCTCTGTGTTTGGAAGGGGAACAGTGGCTGTGATGTGGCCCTGATGCCCACCCCGTGTCACACGGCCCAGTGCCCCATGGCCGGCTGAACAGGCAGGACTGGGACAGTAGGTGGGGCCTGAACAACCGGAAAAGGTGCCTTCTCCATCTCACCCAGACCCCTGGGACCATGTGGGGGCAGCCATCTGCATGTACCTTGGGGCCAAAAGCAGTGGCCTCCCCTGGAGTGGTTACTTGTCAGAGGATGTCAGCGAAGGCATCACCTCGAAAGTGTGGGTCTGCCACAGCTCAGCAGAGCAGGCATTCCTGGGGCAGGGGGCCCTACGGGGCAGACCCAAGCGCCGAGGAGCCTCTGCCTCCACCTTGCTGAACATGGCATGACCTGGCCTGTGCAGGGTGCGCAGCTTCACCAGCCCTGTCTCTGAGAGTCTCACTCCCCAGCCTGCGTGTGGGCCCACAGACAGAAGGACAGGACATACGTGGCCTTCACACGTTTATTCAATCCTTTCTGCTGCCAGCCACCTCTTGAGCAAAGCCCCCACGCTAGGCTGGCCACTGTGGCTGAGCTTCAGGGACCTAGAAAGTGCAGACACAGGGCAGGGCAGGGGCCAGCCTGCTCCTCACTCCACAGGGAGCCTTGAGAGCCCTCCCTCCAGTCACCCTATGCTCAGAGGCTGAGTCTGGGCCTCCCAGGCAGGGCTGGCTGCTGCTCACGCCTGGCTGCCTTTACCCACTCGCCAATGACGGTGGCCTCCAGTATTCGCGCCTTGACCACGGAGTCAGGGTCTTCCGGGTGGGAGGCTCTGGGGAGCAGGCATGGAGGGAGCCCGTCAGCCCCAGCCCCAGTCCTCAGCGAGCCTGCCCCGCCTGACCCACGACCACCAGCTAGGCCACCTCCCTCCACACCTGAGGTCCAGGTGATGCGCTCCCCCCTGGATGGTGACGGCGATGACTGACGTGCTCAGGTTCCTCTGAATCTGTGGTCAGCGGAAAGAACTCCATCAGGTGAGGAATGAGGCGATGCCGCCTCCGGGGCCCCGTGGAGAGAGGAGATGTGAGGGGTGGTCAGGAGTCAGTGCCGTCAAGCAACCAGGAAGAGAACCAGCCAGAGACAGAGGCGGGAAGGTACAAGTCGAGGGTAAAGCCGGGTGAGACAGCGAGGTGGGGGCTGGGCAAGGGGCCCACACCTGTGATCCCAGCACTGGAAGGCCGAGCAGCGAGAATCGCTTGAGCCCAAGCTCCAGACCAGCCTGGGCAACAATGGTGAGACTGTGTCTTTACAAAAATATATATTTTTTATATTAGCTGGGGTCATGGTGGGCAAGGCTGTAGTCCCAGTTATCGGGAGGCTTGAGCCTGGGTGGCCGAGGCTGCAGTGAGCCCTGATCTGGCCACTGTACTCCAGCCTGGGGACAGAGCAAGATTGTCTCAAACACCTAACAACCTAATGGGGTCAGGACTCACCCCGCCCCCTGCCCAGGGGTCCAGGTTCCCATTGGAGAAGATGATGTTGCTGGCGGCTCTGAGATCTGCAGAGGGCAGACAAAATGGTGACGTGCGCCCATTTGGGGGTCGTGAGCCGTAAGCCGGGGGCAGGGTGCAGGGTGCCAGGCAGAGAAAGTGGTGACGTGGGCCTGCTCGGGGGCTGTGAGCCGTGGGCAGGGTGCAGGTGTAGGGCAGAGAGCACGCTGCCGCCCCCGCCCCAGCCTTACCACCCCCCCAGAAGCTGGTCTGCAGCCAGTCAGGCCGGGGCCACACGCCCCAGGTGTCCAGGCAGTACTGCTGGCGGAGCTCGTCCGTGAAGGGCAGGACAGGGAACATATCCGTCACATTGTTGCTGGCGAACATCAGGTTGATCTCCGTGCAGGCCTGCGGGCACCCCACGTGAGTCAGGCCAGCCCACGCCCATCCTCGCCCCAGATGGTCAGGCCACCCACACCCTCACACCTGGTGGTCCCAGGCCCTGGCGTCCGTCAACTGGTGGTCCCAGGCCCTAGCGTCCATCACCTGGTGGTGGTCCCAAGCCCTGGCATCACCTGGTAGTCCCAGGCCCTGGCGTCCGTCACCTGGTGGTCCCAGGCCCTGGCGTCCGTCACCTGGTGGTCCTAGGCCCTGGCGTCTGTCACCTGGTAGTCCCAGGCCCTGGCATCAGGGCCAGTGCCACAGCCGGTGGGGTCGGCACAGCTGTGGTAGAGACGATAGATGTCATAGCAGTGTTCCGAGCCTGAGGCGTTGTAGACCAGCCCTGGGGGAGGAGAGGCGCTGGGCCCAGTGGCCACACACACACACACACCATGGGCTCTAGCCGCCAACCTATCCCCCTCCGAAGAGTCCTGCAGGGGGTCTGGGGCTCTGGGGTCTGTGGGTCCCAGTGAGGAAGGCCCTCCAGGCTCCCTACTTGGAGGGTGGTGGGGTCTGTGCTGCCGGCCCTGGGCCTGGCTGTAGATGGCCCATCTACTGCCCAGCATTGCCCCCTGTGCCTGGGGACCCCAGAGTCCCCTTAGCGGCACCCACTAAGCTGGGCCTGGCTACAGCCAGTGCTGGGAGGGTCCCCAGGGACAGGCACTGCCTCCCCCAGGGCTGCTGGGAAGGTTTTGCTGCCCACCCCACCGTGGCCCTGGGGCAGGAGGCTGCAGATCCTCGCCTCACCCGGCCCCCACACTTGACCATCTGGGGTGGGGGAAGGGTACCTGCCAGCGCGCGTAGCCCCGCAATCCTCTGGGCCTCACTCAACAGCAGGTCACAGCCCACCTGGGGTACAGGGGCAACAGCACTCAGTGAGGTCCCCTCCACCAGCTCTACCTCCCTGGCTCTCAGGACGAGGGTCAGACCGCAGGCCAACAGCCTCAGGATGCTCCAGTGACCTGGGAGGCGCCTCACCTTGACAGGGTTGGCAGGGAGGGGACCCAGGAAGTCGGTGGGGTAGGGGTAGTCCATCATGGCCAGCACGGTGAAGGCATTGCGGGCAAACATGAAGAGCTGGGTCAGGTCCTTCTCATCCAACAGTGGCTGGCAGGTGCCGAACTCCCAGCTGACTTTGTCATAGGCTGCAGGGAAGGGGCAGAGGCTCAAGGCTTGGGTGCAGCTGGCCCTGGGGTGGGTCAGGTGTGGGGGGTGGAGAGCAGCCTCACCTCCCTGTAGGAACAAGTCCCTGATCTGCCAGAATGCTTCCCGCACCGCCTGGGTGCATTTGGGACCCTGGCCCTCAAAGTCCTGGGGGAAAAAGAGCAAGCTCGCTGCAGCCGCTGTCCCTCAGGGACCTGGAGGACCCCAAGCCTCACTCACCGCCGTGACGTCCCGGAAGAACTGGGTGGAATCGCCGAGCCCTGCCACAGCTAGAACGGGCGCACTAGCTGCCAGCGCCCCAGCCACCAGGTGGGGGTACTTCATCCTCAGGTAGGCACTGAGCATCCCCCCATAACTGCGAAAGGAGCACAGGGTTAGGGCTGCTGCCCCCAACACCCATTTTTTCTTTCCCTCCTGGGGAGCCCACAGGCACCACATGGAGGACCTGATACTTCCAAAGACCCACAGATTCCCACCCTGGGCCTGGGGTGGGTGTGGCCCTCACTGGGAAAGGCCACCAGTGTGGCCAGCACATTGCAGCTGAGTCAGTGGCTGGGAGGACAGAGTGGGAGGGCTTCCTGGAGGAAGCAACACTAAGTCTGGAGCCGCCGTCTGAGGCCTTAGGAAAAGGCTGCGGTGGGAGTCAGAGCGGAGAGGCCGGGCCAGCGCAGCCACCGCTGCAGACACGGTGGGGAGAGGAGTGCTGGGCTGGGGTTGCTGGGTCGGGGCAGAGGAGGGTGGGGATGCGGAGGCTGGGGAAGGCGCCCACCTCCCACCGAAGGCGATGGCTGGGACGTCCTGGGCCCCGAGGTCGCGCCGTAGCGCGCGGAGCAACTCTGCGAAGTCGGCCAGGGCCTGCTCCACCGTCAGCAGCCCCGTGTATCCGCGCTGCGTGGACCGCTCGCCGAATGGCAGCGACTTCCCGTAGTAGCGCTGGGGGGAGGGGGACGCACTGCTGAGATGGGTCCGCGACCCCGCCCGTGACCCCGCCAGCAACAGACCCCGCCTGTGACCCCTCACGTGACTCCGCCGGGCACCCACGTGCTCCGCGAAGACCAGTAGAGCCCCCTGCTCGGCCGCCAGCTCCGCGATGAAGCCCGAGTTATTGGCGAATACCCACACGTCGCCCTCGTTCCCGGTGTAGAAAAAGATGGGCCCCTTGCCCCGGATCCAGAATCTGTCTGTGGGGAGGGCGGGTGAGATGGGGGGGGCGGGGAGATGGGCGCGGGGAAATGGGGGACTAGGGCCCGGGAGATAAGGCGGGGACCTGGAGGCTGGGGCCGAGGTCTCACCCGACACCAGGAAGCGCTGGGGGAAGGTCTTGTTGCCGAAGCTCTCGAAGTTGAAGTGGTCCAGAAGCTGCTGGAAGTAGCGCTCCTGGAAGCCAGGGTCCAGGGCCCTGGGGGCTGGGGACACGCGGACCTCACAGGCGGGGCCGGAGCCGGGGCTGGGGGCGCCGCTGTACTCACCCCCCGCCCGGAGGCCGCGCAGCCCGAGCGCCAGCAGCAGGAGCGCGGCCCAGGGAGCGGAGCCCATGTCGCCTTCCGCGGGCGCCCGTCACGTGAGCGGGGTCACTGGGCCACGCTCCTCCCTCCAGGCCCCACGTGGTCCCGGCGCCCGCAGTCTCCATGGAGACGGTCGCCGCGCTGTGGGCTGTGCGTGCGCCCCAATACCCCGCGCCCCGTGACCGCTGCCCAGAGGTCCCTCCCGGGCACTGCACGAGGAAGCCGAGAGCCCCTGGGGGTCTGGGTCCCTGGGACACCTTACTGGCTCGTCCTCCCACCGCGGCGCCACCCGGAGCTGCATCAGGGCGCATCCCTGTTGAGCCGCGCCAAGCCTCCCCAGCCCGTGCTCCTGGCCGGTGTCCCACTCAAAGGCAGGGCCAGGAAAGGGGAGACCGTTCTGCTGCACCTGAGGACCTTGGGGAGATGGGGTTCCTGGGGTCCCAAACAGTGATGGCGCCTAAGAAAGGGAACCAGGGTTTGTCCAAGCGACTGCAGGGGCTGGTCAGGTGGGGGGGCGGGGCCTTGGAGTGGGCAAGGGTGTGGGGTGCTCCTGGAGGGTCTGGGCAGGGCCAGAATGTGGCCATGTGGCTCCTAAGATTCGGGAATTGCTACCTGTTCTTCCGACTGGCACCAACACAGTCCTGCAGGGACAAGGGGGGACCAGAGGCCTCTGCTGGGAGCTGGGGCCCCCTCACTGAGGAGCACCCAGAGGACAGAGGAAGTCACCTCTCCCGTGTCCAGTCCAGGGCGTGGGTGAGGGGGCCACACAGCTGGGTGCTAGACCAGCCACGTGGAGTCCTGCTGGGGATGGACAGGACTTGCTAGCCAGGCCCAGAACAGGTGCAGGGGCAGCTTTGGCTCAGCTGTAGACGGAAAGGAAGTGATCCTATCTGTCTCCCAAGACTGCCCTCGGCCAGCATGACCCTGCCCTGCCCATCCTGGGCTGAGTGGGGAAGACCAGCCACTTCCACCGCCCCTCATGCCATGGCCCCCGTGCCTCACACAGAGGCACCCCCATGGTGAGTGACTGGTGGCTGGGGCCCTCAGCATGGTGGCAGTGACTGTCGCATCACACCACAACAGGAGGTCATCCAGGGCCACAGAGCATCCCCACCACTGTCCTCACATGCAGCCCCGTCCCATGCCCACACAGCACTTGGGCTGCCTGCTGGGGCCCCCATAGGATGGGAGTGAGGACAAGCAGCAGCCTTCCTTGGATGTGGGGGCACCTTGGGTAGCCAGAACTCCACCAGTACCTGTCATCCAGGACCACAGCCCTGGAGATGCCAGCAAGGCTGAGAGCAGGCAGGCCACTCCCCAAACACACCAGGGCCTGGAGATGACCCCCCCATGTGACCACTCACAGGCGCGCAAGCTTGGCTTGGCCCACAGAGGGGCCAGAGCCCCAGGGAGGGGTGCAGGGGTGGGGCTTTCAAGGAAGCCATGTCCCCTCCTGTCCACAGCCCAGGCCTTGATGTCACTCTGTGCAGTAGCCAGGGTCTCCCAAGCCGGGGAGGGTGGGCACAGGGCCAGCCAGCACAGCTCTGCAGGGGATGAAGATGGCCACAGCCCCACATCCCTGGACACCCCACACCCCACTGCACAGAGGCCCGGCAGGCACCCTAGGGAAGGTGGGCCTGCAGGGATGGGTCTGGCAGATGGGCCAGGCACACGGGCGGGTAGACCCTGGCATGGCCACCTGACATGTTGTGGGGCACCCTCCCAAGTCCACATTGCCAGCACCCTTGTCAGTCTGTGCAGGGCACAGTAGATCACTGGGGGCAAGTGGGCTGAGGCAAGTCATTCCTGTGCAGATACAGGGCTCTTGGAGGGCCTCTGCCCATCCTGGAGCGGGACAGATGGACAGGTCGGCTGCAGAGCCGCCAGCTGAGGGGGTGAGAGGTCCCTGGGCAGAGGAACACTGGAAGCCCAGCCAGCGAGGATGGGGCTGCTGAGCCCAAACCCTCCCCAAGGCCACCTGCCTCCACCAGACCATCCAGGCAGCTCCTCCACACACTAATTCCTGCTGGGACCACCCATCCCATCCTCCATGGCTCACAGACTGGGGGCCATGCCCGGCCATGCCTGCCATCTGTGCTGCCCCTCAGACCAAAAGGCTGCAGGCGGGCAGCTGGCAGGTGGCTTTGGTGCTTGTGGCCATGACCTGCTGTGTCTGCACTGAGGGTGGTGCTGGTCTTCGCTGAATTATACATAATATAAACTTTACCACTTAACCACTTTCATGTGTGAAATTCGGTGGCATTAAGTACACTCACAACACTGTGCTGAAATCACAATTTCCCAAACCACCTCATCACCCCAACAGAAACTGTAGCCATTAAACAATGACCCCCCAGCCCTGGACCCACCATTTTATCATTTGTCTCTGTGGCTCTGCCCACTGCAGCTATATCAGTGGAATCCTACAGTATTTTATCCCATTTTTATTTCTTGGTGACAGTCCTGCTCTGTCACCCAGGCTGGAGTGCACTGGCTCGATCTGCAATCTCTGCCTCCCAGGTTCAAACGATTTTCCTGCCCCAGTCTCTGGAGTAGCTGGGATTATAGGCACCCACCACCACACCCAGCTCATTTTTGTTTTTTGGGGTTTTCTTTCCCCAGAGACAGAGTCTTGCTCTGTCACTCAGGCTAGAATGCAGTGGCATGATCTTGGCTCACAGTAACCTCCACCTCCTGGGCTGAAGCAATGCTCCTGCCTCAGCATCCCAAGTAGTTGGGATTACAAGCACGCACCACCATGCCCAGGTAGTTGTATTTTTAGTAGAGAAGGGCTTTCACCATGTTGGCCAGGCTGGTCTCAAACTCCTGACCTTAGGTTATCTGCCCGCCTTGGCATCCCAAAGTGCCGGGATTTCAGGCGTGAGCCACTGCGCCCAAACTTTTAGCCACTGTGAATACTGATACGATGAACATGGGTGTGAAAGCAACTGTTTGAGTCTCTGCTTTCAACTAACTCCTTTATATTTCCAGAAACAAATTTTCGGGATCTTATCTAATTTGATACCAGATTTATTTTGCGGATTCCGCGTGGTTTCTGGCAGCGTCTATGCCGGTTTACATCCCTGCCAACATCCCTGTTCAGTCCGTCCGTCTACTTGTTTTGGTGATGTCCGGTCCATCCGTCTCTTTTGTTGCCTGTACTTTTGGTCTATTTTTTTTTCTAAGAGTTTTACAGTTTTAACTTTTTTTGTTTTGGGGGTTCTTCTGAGACAGTCTTACTCTGCTGCCCAGGCTGTAGTGCAGTGGTGCCATCTGGGCTCACTGCAACCTTCGCCTCCTGGGTTCAAGTGATTCTCCTGCCTCAGCCTCTCAAATAGCTGGGATTACAGTCATGTGCCACCATGCCCATCTAATTTTGTAATTTTTTAGTAGAGATGGGGTTGCTCCATATTGGTTAGGCTGGTCTTGAACTCCTGACCTTGGGTGATCCACCCACCTTGGCCTCCCAAAGTGCTGGGTTTACAGGCGTGAGCCACCACACCCAGCCCAACTTTGCTCTTTCAAGATTATTCTGGATCGCTTAAGAGAGCATTAACATCTTAACAATGCTGACTTCCTACTCAGAAACAAGGGTTCCTTTGCACTTATTCAGGTTTTCTTTAATTTCTTTCAGTTTTGTAGTTTCAGTGTATAAGTATTTCACTTTCTTGGTTTATTCCTTGGCACTTTTCTGTCTTAGATGTTGTACATAAAACTGTTTTCTTCACTCCTTCTGGACTGTTGGCTGCAGGTGCACAGACACGCTGATTTGTTGTGACACTATGCCTGCAACGTTACTGAATGTATTCTTTGGGATTTTCTATATGTAGGATCATGTTATCTGTGACCAAAGAGTTCTACTTTCTATTTGAATGCATTTCTTTTTCCATCTAATTGCCCTGGGTAGGACTTTCAGGACAATACTGAATGGTGAAGCAGGCATCTTGTTTTTGTTTTTTTGATACAGAATCTGACTGTTGCCCAGGCTGGAGTGCAGTGGCTCAATCTCGGCTCACTGCAACTTCAGCCTCTGGATTCAAGCTATTCTCCTGCCTCAGCATCCCGAGTAGCTAGGATTACAGGCATGTGCCCCATGCCCAGGTGATTTTTGTATTTTTAGTAGAGAAGGGTTTTCACCATGTTGGCCAGGCTGGTCTCAAACTTCTGACCTCAGGTGATCTGTCCACCTCGGCTTTCCAAAGTGCTAGGATTCCAGGCATGAGCTGCCGCCCAACCACCTTCTGCTAGCTCTGGATTTTGTTTGCCCTTCCAGTTTGTCAATATTTAAATCTAGGTCACTGATTTGAGATTTTCCTTCTCTTTTAACGTAAGTATTTGTTTCATCCTGGCCAAACCTTTTGGAGTGACCCTAAAAAGGAGTGGCAGAGGCGTTCCCACAGTGGAGTGCCCCAAACCATCCTGAGACAGGGCAGGTTGGCACCAAACACCAGGGTAACCAGTCCAGAGCATTTACTAGGGGAACTTACCAGAGGGCTGCAGCGGCAGGTCAGCACTGAACAGCAGGGCGACCCACCCGAGCATGTAGTAGGGGAACTTATGGAGGGCTGCAGCGTCCAACTGGCAGCAGAACGAAGACAGGTTCTACACGGCACACCCACAGTGCGGGTCAGGATATGGCCTTTATGGGTTTAGGAAATTTGCTCAGAGCCAGGGCTGGTTTCTTTCAGAGTTTCCCACAACAAACTAAACACGTTTCTTCATGCCCCAGGGAAAAAACATACAGCTGGCCAGGTCACAGAGCGGTCAAGGCACCCTACGTTTCTGTCGGGAGAAGAGAAAAAGCAAGTACAACTTGGGGAGCCTACTGTGTTTTTTGGTGTTAGATAGGTAACGTGCTGCCTTCATAAGGTCTGAAGGAGGCACATCTCACAGGAATATGAAACCAAATCATCACACTTATGACTACAAAAGAATCGGTGTTCACAGTTAATTTTCATCTGAGCATAACCTTTGCTCCATCCCATACATTCTGGTAGTTTCTGTTCTCATTTTCATTTGTCTCTAAGTGTTTCCTACCTCCCCTTGTAAGTTCTTCTTTGACCCATTGGTTAAG